TTATTACCGTCCAGTCTCCAACCTTCGCTTCGTTGCAAAGGTTGTTGAGAGTGTGGTAGCGCGACAGCTTCCTCAGTACTTGGATGAATCGGCTTATCTAGATCCGTTCCAGTCGGGCTTCAGGCCTGGATACAGCACGGAAACGGCATTGGTCGCATTGGTAGATGATCTCTGGAGGGCCCGGGACAGGGGTTGCTCCTCTATCCTGGTCCTATTAGACCTCTCAGCGGCTTTTGATACCATCGACCATGGTATCATGCTGCACCGGTTGGAAGAGCTAGGGGTGGGGGGCACCGTGTTGCGGTGGTTCTCCTCCTTTCTCTGATCGGTCGCAGTCCGTGTTGACGGGGGCAGAGGTCGACCCCGAGGCCCCTTGTATGTGGGGTGCCACAGGGATCAGTTCTCTCGCCCCTTCTGTTCAACATTTATGTGAAGCCGCTGGGTGAGATCATCCGTGGTTTTGGGGTGAAACAGCTATACATCTCCACCCCAGACCACCCCAATGATGCCCTTGAAGTGATGTCCCAGTGCCTGGAGGCTGTACGGATCTGGATGGGGAGGAACAGACTCAGGCTCAACCCATCCAAGACCGAGTGGCTGTGGTTTCCGACGTCCCAATATATTCAGTTGGTGCCATCACTGACTATTGGGGACGAGTCATTGCCCCGCACGGAGAGGGTTCGCAATTTAGGCGTCCTCTTGGACTCAAGGCTGTCTTTAGAAGAGCACTTGACGGCTGTGGCCGGGAGGTCTTTTTATCAAGTTCACCTGATTCGCCAGTTGCGTCCCTTTCTGGATCGGGACTCGTTAAATACGGTCACTCATGCCCTCGTCACGCCTGGACTACTGTAATGCTCTCTACATGGGGCTCCCCTTGAGGAGCACCCGGAGGCTCCAGCTGGTCCAGAATGCGGCCGGGCGGGTAGTTATGGGAGCAGCATGGCGGTCCCATGTGGCTCCCCTCCTGCGCGAGCTGCACTGGCTCCCGGTGGTCTTCCGGGTGCGCTTCAAGGTCTTGGTTACCACCTTTAGAGCGCTCCATGGCTTAGGACCGGGGTACTTACAAGACCGCCTTCTGCCACCAATAGCCTCTCACTGCCCAGTACGCTCCCATAGAGAGGGGCTTCTCAGGGTGCCGTCAGCCAAACAGTGTCGACTGGCCGCCCCCAGGGGGGGAGCCTTTTCTGTGAGGGCACCCACCATCTGGAACGAGCTCCCCCCAGAGATACAGAAGATCCCGGATCTGCGCACTTTCCGCCGTGCCCTCAAAACATTCCTGTTTCATCAGGCCGGCCTGGCCTAACTTTCCCTTTATATTGCTTCTGATTTTGTTTTAAATTGGGATGTCTTGAATTATCTAGGACCAGAGTGTTTAGTATATTTTAATTGGTTTTTTTAACGTTTGTATTACATGTATTTTTATCTTTCGCTGTTCACCGCCCTGAGTCCCTCGGGAATAGGGTGGTATATTAAATAAATAAATAAATAAATAAATAAATAAATAAATAAATAAATAAATAAATAAATAAATAAATAAATAAAAAAATAAAAAAATAAAAAAATAAAAAAATAAATTTCAATTCTAAATATATATAACATCTTTCTCTCTCTTTTCTTTTTCTCCCTTCCCATTTTTATTTTTGCCTTTTTCTTTCTCCTTTTTTTCTTTTGTGTTTTAAAATCTTGAACTCTCCTCTTTTGCCCTAAATTTCCCATTGTTTCCCATCTCTTTTTTCCTTTTCTTATCTCTCCACTATTTATCCCATTGTTTATCCCAGTGTAATCATTCTGTGTTTCACAGATCTATTTTGCCCTGCATTTCCTGTTGTTTTTCATCCTTTACCTCTCTTTTTTTTCTTTTCACTGTTAATCCCAGTGTAATGATCTGAATTTTTTGAGTTCTTTATATGCCACCCTTCTTTCCTTCTTTGTCTCTTTCCGCCCTTCCTGTTTTTCCCATTGTTAATCCCAATGTAATCTCTAAAAACATCCTTTTTATTATTACTATTTACATATTCAATTATTTTTTCAAAATTAATCTCATTGTCTTTGTCTTCTTTATTTTCAGTCTCTGTATCTTGCTTCTCCGTCTTTGTTTCCTTGTTAGCTTGAGCATGCTCTATCTCAATTTTTGAATCCTCAAGTTTCGATTCTCTATGTAACATTGTAATTATTCCTCTTATTTCCGCTTTCCATGATGAGTACATCATTTCCATCATTTCTCTAATTTCCTGCACCATTATGTTGTTGCTGTGTTAATATTGTTCCAGTTTTAAAAGTTTCATTTTTTTTCCAAAGTCAAGCCGCTTACAGACAAAGCAATCCTCCCCAAAAGTTCTCACGACTATTATCACTGATGTAGTTCAAAATTTTCCAAAACAAAGATTTCAAATTGCAATGAACTTTTTTCTCCTGAGGATGTCTCTCTACAATCCACAGTTCTCTTAATTGTTTAACAGTATCTATTTGGTATCAATCCACGTTAACAATCTAGCTTCTTTTTTCTTCTTTTTAACTTTGAAAATCCCAAGTCAATTTTATAGTCCAGTCCAAATTAAACAATACTTTTCCCCTCTTTTTCCCCCCCTCCTTTATTTATCTTTAGGTATACAGCACTTCTGTTGCAGGGCTTAATATCCAATTGTCTTTTATTTTTCTTAGCATTTAAAAAGAAAGGATCTATTTATTTTCTTTCCAATCCTTTAGCTAATTTTGGAGTTACTTCTAATTCTTAAAATTTTCCAGATAATTTTGTTCAAAAGTCAATTTTTTTTCCGGGTTTTTGTCCCTTTAAATTCCGCTTACTTCCTCTTTTCTTTCCCCGTGCCCGTTAGCCGCTATTTCTATGCTGGAGGTTTCAGGGTTAAAAATATTTTTGTTGTTGTTCCGCCTGTGGGTTGGCTGTCACTCACCCAGCTTCAAAAACTCTGTTACAATCACCACTCCTGCTCAATACTCAATACTGGTTGCCCCAGCTTCTTGACAGCTGCAATGGCTGCCACCCGCGCTGCGGAGTCGGAGAGAGATTCCTCTGACTTTCGAGGAACTTGCCTGTTCCTCTTGGTCTTCTGAGGTGCCTCTCCTTCTTCTCCGTCCCTATAGGATGGTTCCGGTCCGAAAACCCCTCGGCAACGGTTCGTCAGTCCAGGTTTTAGCGGGGCTCATCAGAGCCCACTAATTCCCCAACTATCTCACCACGATGCTTCCGGTCGAATCAGAAAGAACAGAAAGACTTTCTCCTAAAGTCCACCTCCATTTCTACGGGTTTGAGTGTGTTCAGTTCCAGATTGTTCCGGTCACACCATGAGGCTAGCTGTTCAACCTCCAGTCTGTATGCGGATTCATCATTGTCTCGAATGAGACCCTGTTGTGTCATCTGCGAACTTCAGTAGTTTAACAGATGGATCGTTTAGAGATGCAGTCATTGGTATATAGAGAGAAGAGAAGTGGGGAGAGCATACAGCCTTGGGGAGCCCCTGTGCTAATTGTACAGGTATCTGATGCGATTCTGCTTAGCTTTACCTGCTGCTTCCTGTTTGTTAGGAAGCTTATGATCCACTTGCAAGTGTGTTCAGGTACCTGTAGCTGGTTTAGCTTAGTTAGAAGTGTGTCTGGAATGATGGTATTGAATGCTGAATTAAAGTCTACAAAGGACCCTTGCATAGGTCTTTGGAGATTCAAGATGTTGTAGGATGTAGTGCAGAGCCATATTAACAGCATCATCTGTCGATCTATTTGCTCGGTTATGAACCTGTTGTGGCCCGCCAGCGGCCTGCGTGGATTGTTTCTGATCCCAACGACGAGGCTAGTGTGCTGCGCCAGCAGCCTGTGCAGCCGGCGCTCGAGTCAGACAGCGAGGAGGCTGAAGAGGATGTGGTGCCAGAGGCAGGGATTCAGTCAGGGCCTTCAGAGCCTCCAGAGGCTCCTTTAAGTGAAGAGGATGAAGAGGAGGAGCCACTTCTCAATGCACAGCACGCAGAACTGCCAAAAGGCAGGAGTGGTTCCTCAGGAGGAGGTCTCCTCGAGAGTAAGGCTTGGGGTTAATTGGCCACTCCCTTAGCCTATTTAAGAAAGTACCAGCTGGTAACAAGCTGCAGGAAATAACTTTCGTTCGCTAATCATCGCGTTGGGATGTCTCTGCAATCTTGCTTCTGGGCTTTCTGCTAACTCCAGTAAGACTCTGAATATCTTATCTGTGGAATTCTGGCAGGCTGTTAAGAATGCTTTATTAACAGCCAGCATTTGCTAAAACTGAGTTATTTAAGTAAACTAAGTTTTGTTCAGAGTTTGTGTGTGCTGTGTTCTTTGAGATCCGTAGCTGGGGCAGAACAGAATCCAATGGGGTGGGATCAGTTGTAGTAGGCTTGGCTGTTGTTGGTGTGTCTGAGATGGGGGTTGTGGAGATAGGTGGCTGTGGTTTCCTTTCAAACCTGCAGTAAAACACATTCAGGTCATCTATCAGTTGCTGATTTCCTTCAGCCTGGGAAGGAGGTTTTTTGCCATAGCCGGTGATATTTTTAAGAGTTTTCCACATGTTTGCTGGTTCATTTGTTGAGAACTGATTACTTAGCTTTTCAGAGTAGCTTCTTTTTGCTGGAGGTGGAACAAATTATGTCATTCATTCATATATTTGTGTGCCCTTCCACCAATCACCCTGGGTCAACACATAGTGATGAACTCAGTGGGGTTGTTCTAAAGTTGCTGACTAGGAATATGGTTGCTATTCCTTTAATTAACAGAATAACTTGTGCAGACTGCAAATGTTGTTTTTCTTGATATTAGAAGAGGTACAGTACTCTGAATAACTTCAAATGACTCACTTAGCCTTGACTGGTACCCTTGTCTCAGAAGCTAGTGAAAGGGAGAAATTTCCTTTTATTTACATTCCCAAAATCAGGAGCTATGTTCTGCATTATAATTAGCATGAGATGCTCTGATTAGAATAGCAACATAGGCATTAACTTTGTCCAAGTTGTTTGATGATATGTTGTCCTAAATAGGTGATAAAGTAATCACTCCTACTGAAGACACAGAGAACACACCTCTAAAGCCAAGATCTACAAGAAACAGAACAACAAAAGGTAATAATCCTCTGAAACTATTGCTGAGCACATTGTAAGCCGCCCTGAGTCTTCGGAGAAGGGCGGCATATAAATCAAATTTAAAAAAAAAAAAAGAAACAAATATACTTTTGCTTTGTAAAGCTTTCTCACAAGTGTTTTTCAGGCTAAAGAAAGGGCATATGTGACTGTATGCATACGCTGAACTAAAAAAATGGACACTCAGTTTTGGAACTACTTTGACTTCACTGAAGTGACTTGTGTTATGTTGGCTTTCTCAAGTGCAGTGCCTTGCATTTTGTTGCAATAAGGGCTCCTTGACCAAGAGTATCAACTTACAACAATAATTCCAGTACCAATTGTGTTCATAAATTGAGGACTACCTGCATTTTCAGGACATACATCCAATAACACTGGACACTTAGGAGATTCATTGGGGGTAGAGGGAACTGTAATCAGAATCAAGTTGGAACGTACCTTGCAGGACTTCTAGTCCAACCCCCTGCTCAAGCAGGAGATCCTATACCATTTCAGACAAGTGACTGTCCAGTGTTTCCTTAAAACCTCCAGTGATGAAGCACCCACAACTTCTGACGGCAAGCTGTTCCACTGGTTAATTGTCCTCACTGTTAGTGCCCTTCTCCTTAATTCCAGGTTGCTTCTCTCCTTGATTAGTTTCCATCCATTGTTTCTTGTCCTGCCCACTGGTGCTTTGGAAAATAAATTGACCGCATCCTCTTTGTGGCAACCTCTCAAATACTGGAATACTATCATGTCTCCCCTAGTCCTTCTTTTCTCTAGACTAGCCAAACTCAAATCCTGCAACCGTTCTTCATAATCTCCAGGCCTTTAACTATCTCCAGGCCTTTAACTATCTTAGTGCTCTTCTTTGCACTTTTTCCAAATTCTCAACATCTTTTTTGTAATGTGACCAAAACTGGATGCAGTATTCCAGCTGTGGCCTTACTAAGGCTTATAAAGTGGTAGTAATACTTTATGTGATTTTGATTCTATGCCTGGTTATACAACTAAGGATTGTATTAGCTTTTTTTTTTTTGCTGCTGCCGCACATTGCTGATTCATGTTTAAGTGATCATTCACTAGGACTCCAAGGTTCCTCACAGTTACTGTTTTGGAGCCATGTTTCGCCTAATCTGTACTTGTAACTTTGGTTTTTTCCTGCCCAGGTGGAAAACCCTGCTTTTCTTCACATTAAATTCCATTTTGTAGGCCCATTGTTCAAGTTTGTCAAGATCTTTTTGGATCCTGAGCTTGTCTTCTGGGGTGTTGGCTATTCCTGTCAGCTTGGTGTCATCTGCAAAGTTAATAAGTTCCCCTTCTATTCCCTTATGTAAATCATTTATGAAGATATTGAAGAATACCAGGCCTAAGATGGAGCCTTGTGGTACACCACTGCTTACTTCCATATAGATGTAGTAACATTAAGGACTATTTGTTGAGTATGGTTTGTCAGCCACTTACAAACTCATCAAGTGGTGATGCTGTCTAAGCAATGGGATACCACAAGGTTCCGTCTTAGGCCCAGAACTCTTCAATATCTTCATAAATGACTTAGATGAGGGAATAGAGGGGGAACTTACCAAATTTGTGGATGATACTAAGCTGGCAGGAATAGCTAACACTCTAGATCAGGGGTGAAATCCAGCAGGTTCTGACAGGTTCTGGAGAACCGGTAGAGGAAATTTTGAGTAGTTCAGAGAACCGGCAAATACCACCTCTGGTTGGCTCCAGAGTAGGGTGGGAATAGAGATTTTGCAGTATTTTTCCCCTGGAGTGGGGTGGGAATGGGGATTTTGCAAGGAGTGGGGAGGGAATGGGGATTTTGCAAGGAGTGGGGAGGGAATGGGGATTTTGCAGTATCCTTCCCCTGCCATGCCCACCAAGCCACACCTACCATGCCACACCATGCCCACCAAGCCACGCCCACAGAACTGGTAGTAAAAAAATTTGGATTTCACCACTGCCCTAGATCATGATCAGCAAACCACGGCTCACGAGCCACATGTGGCTCTTTGGCCCTTTGAGTGTGGCTCTTCCACAAAACACCGAAAAGTCCACAAAGTGCCGAAAAGTCCTTCAGCCGGTGAGAAGAAAGCTGCGCATGCACGAAGATAGCGGCAGTGACCAGAGGTCTTTTCGGTGCTGTGCGCCAGTGGCTGGGTAGAAAAGAAGCCTCTCGGCTTCCAAGTTCAGCAGCAGGCTCAGTCCCTTCACACAGGGTCGCTTTTCTCCGTGCCCGAGAAAGATCAAAAGGCGCGGAGCAGCCTTTAATTAGGTAAAAGAAAACAAACCACTGAGGGAAGGAGCCCACTGAAGCTGCCCGCGGTGCAGCCGCCCCCCCTCCCCGCAGCTTGGAGCTCCAAGCGGAAGAAGTCCTCGGCTGTTGCAAAGAAGCGGCAGTTCTGGGTGAGCCATGCCCACTTCTTTCTCTTTGAGAGCTGCTTTGCAAACAAGGTGCAAAGCAGCTCTCAAAGAGAACGAAGCGGGCGTGGCACACCCAGAGTTGCTGCTTCTTTGCAACAGCCGAGGACAGAAGAATTTGCTCAGGAGCGATGCCAACAAGGAAGGCGGCTGGGTCGGAGGGAGGCATAGCCCGAGCTCTCTGGGACAGGTAAACAAGTGTGGGGAGGTGAACGGGAGCGGACTTGGCCCTCCACGTGTTGCATCCCCTCCCACTACTTTTTAATTGTAGTCAATTCAACATACATATTCAACATACCTATAGTTTAACTAAGACTTAAAACTTTGAGTAAAGTTTATTAAGTTAATTTTAGGGAACGTTGAGTGAAAGAAGATGTAATGTTGAGGATTGAGAAAGGTATGTTGAGATGGCTTGGACATATAGAGAGGATGAACGAAAGGAGATAAATGAAACAAGTATACAAGATGAGTGTGGATGGGAGAGTTGGAAGGGGTCGGCCTCAGTGAACGTACCTCAATCAGATTGAGCAAAGGCCAGCGTAGGAGTACCCTAATTAAGTTAATAACAATGTACCTACCTATATAGTTTAAGTTTAAAAAATTTGGGCCTCAAAAGAAATTTCAATCGTTGTACTGTTGATATTTGGCTCTGTTGACTAATGAGTTTGCCGACCACTGCCCTAGATGATAGGCTCAAGATCCAGATGGATCTTGACAGACTTGAACACTGGGCCCTGTCTAATAAAATGAAATTCTATATAGAGAAAAATAAAATCATTTTGCTGCTCTTATTGCGTCATCAGATAATCGCCTGGCCGCCCCGTTTAGGGTGACCCGCTCCCTGCTCCACCAGGAAGCGTGGGAGGACCTTGGAGGGAAGAGCCGAGGATTTTGTTCAGTATCTCCATGACAAAATCACTCAGATTCGGGAAGGTCTGTACTCCGACTGGGTAGGTCCAGCGAGAGTGACGGAGGCAGGTCTTGAGAATGTTATCTGGGATGAATTTGATTCTGTGACCCCAGATGACGTGGACAGGATTCTGGGTAGATTGAACGCGACCACATGTTTGTTGGACCCGTGTCCCTCCTGGTTAGTGCTGGCTTCCCGGGAGGTGACACGAGGCTGACTCCAGGGGATTATAAATGCTTCATCGGGTGAGGGTGCCTTCCCCGCCGCCTTGAAGGAGGCGGTGGTGAGGCCTCTCCTCAAGAAGCCCTCCCTGGACCCGGCAGTATTGGCTAATTATCGTCCAGTCTCCAACCTTCGCTTTGTGGCGAAGGTTGTTGAGAGTGTGGTTGCGCAACAGCTTCCCCAGTACCTGGATGAAATGTCGTATCTGGATCCGTTCCAGTCGGGTTTCAGGCCTGGGTAAAGCACGGAAACGGCATTGGTCGCGTTGGTTGATGATCTCTGGAGGGCTTGGGACAGGGGATGCTCCTCTGTCCTGGTCCTGTTAGATCTCTCAGCGGCTTTTGATACCATCGACCATGGTATCATGCTGCACCGGTTGGAAGAGTTGGGGGTGGGAGGCACCGTATTACAGTGGTTCTCCTTTCTCTCCAACCGGTCGCAGTCTGTGTTGACGGGTGCAAAGGTCGACCCCGAGGCCCCTCATATGTGGGGTGCCACAGGGATCGGTCCTCTCACCCCTTTTGTTCAACATTTATGTGAAGCCGCTGGGCGAGATCATCCGTGGTTTCGGGGTGAAGTACCATCAGTATATGCTGACGACACCCAGCTGTACATCTCCACCCCAGACCAGCCCAACAATGCCCTTGAAGTGATGTCCCGGTGCCTGGAGGCCGTACGGATCTGGATGGGGAGAAACAGGCTCAGGCTCAACCCATCCAAAACCGAGTGGCTGTGGTTTCCGACGTCCCGATATAGTCAGCTGGTGCCATCACTGACTATTGGGGGCGAATCATTGGCCCCCACGGAAAGGGCTCGCAACTTGGGCGTCCTCCTGGATTCACGGCTGTCTTTAGAAGAGCACTTGACGGCCGTGACCGGGAGGATTTTTCATCAGGTTCGCTTGATCCGCCAGTTGTGTCCCTTTCTAGATCGGGACTCTCTACACACAGTCACTCATGCCCTCGTCACCTCTCGTCTGGACTATTGTAACACTCTCTACATGGGGCTCCCCTTGAGGTGCACTCGGAGGCTCCAACTGGCGCAGAGTGCGGCCGCGCAGGTGGTTATGGGAGCGACGTGGAGTTCCCATGTCACACCTTTCCTGCGCGAGCTGCACTGGCTCCTGGTGGTCTTCCGAGTGCGCTTCAAGGTTTTGGTTACCACCTTTAAAGCGCTCCATGGCTTAGGACCTGGTTATCTACAGGACCACCTGCTACCACCAATAGCCTCCCACTGGCCAGTACGTTCCCATAGAGTGGGGCTCCTCTGGGTGCCGTCGGCCAAACAATGTCGACTGGCAGCCCCTAGGGGGAGAGCCTTCTCCCTGGGGGCACCTACGATCTGGAAAGAGGTCCCCCCAGAGATACGGAGGATCCCGGATCTGCGCACCTTCCGTTGCGCGCTTAAGACTTTTTTATTTCATCATCTCCCCTTTTTAAACGTAAATTTTAATTTGTTTTTAAATTATGGGGTATTTTAAATTTGTTCAGCCAAATTATTTAATTCGTTTTTATTCTATTTTACATTTTTTATTTATGTGTTTTATCCTGTGGCTGTTCACCGCCCTGAGTTCTTCGGGAGTAGGGTGGTATAGAAATTTAATAATTAAACAAAAGTCTTACTACGGACACGGAGGCTCAGTTGCTAAGATGCTAAGGTTGTTGATCGAAAGGTCAGCAGTTCAACAGTTTGAATCCCTAGTGCCGTGTAACAGGGTGAGCCCCCGTTACTTGTCCCAGCTTTTGCCAACCTAGCAGTTCGAAAGCACATAAAAAATGCCAGTAGAAAAATAGAGACCACCTTTGGTGGGAATGTAACAGCGTTCCATTCACCTTTGGCATTTAGTCATGCCGGCCACATGACCACAGAGACATCTTCGGACAGCACTGGCTCTTCGGCTTTGAAATGGAAATGAGCACCGCCCCCTAGAATGACTAGCACATATGTGCAAGGGGAACCTTTACCTTTAAAGTCTTACACTTAGGGAAGAAAAACCAAAAGTACACATATAGACTGGGTGAAACCAGGCATAATAGCAGTAACTGTGAAAGGGATCTTGGAGTCTTAGTGGACAATCAATTAAATATGAGCCAACAGTGTGCAGCAGCAGCAGCCAAAAAAGCCAATGCAATCCTAAATTGCATTAAAAAGGGATACAATTAAGACCAAGTGAGGTACTAATACCACTCTATAAAATCTTAGTAAGACCACACCTAGAATACTGCATTCAGTTTTGGTCGCCACACTATAAATAAGATGTTGAGACTCTAGAAAGAGTGCAGAGAAGAGCAACCAAGATGATTAGGGGACTGGAGGCTAAAACATGGATGAATGGTTGCAGGAACTGAGCGATGGCTAATCTAGTGAAGAGAATGGACATTGGTCTTACCTGATACGTCCGTTCTCTATGAGGAGGAAACAGTAGTCAGGCATGGCATGGGAATAGACTCCTCTGTGCAGCATAGGATCGAGTCTGCAGATTTGAATAGCTCCACCCTCTGCGAGTGATTCCCAGTGTTTCGGCAAAGGCGCTGAAGCAGACTGGCGTGTCTTCCTGGAATGAGAGAGAATTAAAACACCACCCACCCCACCATGAAAAAACAGGGCCTTCTTGAGAGGGTGGGGCTGGCTGCTGTTTCCTCCTCATAGAGAACGGACGTATCAGGTAAGACCAAGTATCAAGTATCCATTCTCCTCATCTGTTTTAGCCAGAGGAGCGATGCCCGGTTGAAGAAGGATGCCAATGTGGTGGTTCGGATGGCCCAGGCCGCAGATTGATGAGCTTTGATGAGGGTCTTTTCGGCCCGCTTGTCTTCTGGGCGCAGATACTCCTCCAGTGAGCCCGTAACCCGAGAAGACGATGTCAAAGCTACAATTGGGCCATCCACTGGTGGCACCTGCAATAAGTTGGAAAGAGCCGGAGCCGTTTGGTAAATGCGCTTGTCCAAGCCATTGGGCGCCGGGCCAGATCCAGGCAGAGACCATTGTCTTTGAATGCTATTGGTGAAAAGTTTTGGAGCCGGGATAAGATCAGGCTCAACTGCTGGTTCAACAAATAAGGATGTAGCCGGATCTGAACTCCCAGATGGACCCATCCCAGGTGGAGAGGGGCTCCCCATTCGCATGACAGCTAGGGCCTTGTAAAGCAAAGACCTGAAAAGTTGGGGCTAAAATGTCCAATGAAGGCGGGTTGGTCTGGGGCCAGACCCTCGTCGTCTGAAAGGGTCAACTCCCTGGATTCTTCCTCTTCAGACATGGACCCCTGCTCGGAATGCTCTGGTGAATAGTGTTGTTCTTCAGACAGTTCCTTCTGAGCCTGATAATGCTGAGGATGGGCGACCTGAGGAATGGGTTGGAGAAAGCCCTGCTGCAAACCCTGTGCCAGACCTTGCTGGATGGCTCTGGCAATAATGGCCTCCAATGTGGCCTGAAGATCCTTGGCCTGTGGACCCTCTTGAGGGCGAGGAGGGATCTGGGGCTCAGGATCCGGACTTGCAGGATCAGGCCCATTGGGGTCCCTGGGATCTGGCATGGTTTGAAAAAGAGGCTCTGCACCAGGGGGAGGAGGAGGACTGCATGGGGCGGGATGGTCAGGAGATAGCTCCCTCCTATGGTGAGGAGCAGTGCCCTGAGGAGAATTGGAGGCTGACGACGTAGTTAAAATGGCGACCGGCTGTTGCTGGGCCTTGAGAACTGAAGTAGCCAAAATGGCGGCCGGCTGTTTTTGTTGGGCCTTAAGAACTGCCTTCTCTAGTGCCTTGTGGCGCCTGGGTTCCTCTCTGGAAGGCTTGGGGGGCTTAGAGGTGGTAGAGGCTGGAGCCTTAGCCGGTGCCCTGCCCTGGCGACATGGCCGTCTTGAAGGACCCTCCCCCGGGTCGCTAGAATGCCTGTGGTGCGATGCTGAGGCAGCCGAGGTTGAGTGGTTGTGTCTCATGGCATCTGCCATTTTAGAGAAACTGCCTCGGGCGTTAGGGACCAAAAGGGCAGGAAAATAGTAATTTGAAGCACTTATCTTGGAACGAATCAGCAAGGAACTCCTCTGTAGTCGTCTTGGAGTGTTCGAAGGCAAGTGCCAGCAACGAGGAGAAAACACTCCCACACGTGTTGTTAATGAAGCCGCTAGCTGCCGGCAGTAAAAGCGGCAGGGAAGGCGCGTTTTGAAAAGGTGCATTCAGCACCAAGGAAGCTGCTGGGCAAATGCCTTAGAAACTCAGCAGATTGAGCTCTCCCGATGACAAGGGGAGGCTGAGGGGAGCCTGCGCTCTGACCCTGTAAGGGATCTGCCGGCTGGCAGTCCCACGCCGCTCTGTGGCCTTCGGCTGAAGTCTAAATATACTATGTGCACAGCATTTTGCTGGTCTACTAATTGAGTCACTTTGTCAAAGAATTAAATAAGATTGGTCTGGCATGATAATGCTAGGGTGCATCTTTCTGTGGAACACCTCTGAAGAATTTACAGGTTCATGGTTTTAAACATTGACATGTGTGTTGTGTATCCCTTTTAGGTCTGAGGAAAATAGAAATGCAGACTGAGCACCAAAGTGGGTGCTCTAGAACTAAAGGATCTGAAAGTGACAGGTAATTTCCTTGAGTTATCTGATAATTCCTGCTGTTTGGACTAGACATATGCTTTCAATTTTTTTCTTTCTTTGTGATTAAAAATTATGTTGGGTTATTCAGTGTAGATGATGAGACTGAACTCGAGGGTGGGGGTCAAACACATCATCAGCCTGAGTCCCTACGACCCCAAAGGAGAACCTGGTGTCTTGAAGACCTTGAAGTCCATTGACTCTTACCTGGCACCAATTTCTCATGTTCATTAGTAGATCAGATTCTTGTGTATAGGTTGCATGGAATAAACACAGTGCTTTCTGAACTCTAAACTGGCTCCTGGTTTCTTGTGCCTGACATCAAGTACTATTCTGTAGTAAACTGGATGATCATTTGCACATTATACATATTTATATCTATACATTTTTTTTTCTGTAGAATGATGGCAAAGTGCAATTGGCTAATTTATTGAAGAACATTAGGTAGTGTCAAATAGGACTATTTAATTGGATATTGTTTCTTCCCTTCAGTATCATCTGGATGCAGGACTAAATTTGACTGCCTATGGCTGCTCCTTTGGCTGATCAGCCATGATAAAAATCTCGGGCAGGGGACAACATAAGACTTTAGTTCATCCATGGTAAAGGAGGCTTTTGGAAGAGACTCACTGTCAACATTGCCAGTTCATGGACTAGTGTAGTCTTACTTCCATCCTTCCTATAGTAACATGGACTCCCTGGACACTAATGTCCAAAGCAGCTGAAGGAGAGGGGGCAGGAGTGGGAACTGTGTTGATGGGAAGAATGGGGGAGAAGGTGGTGGTGTTGGCAACTTCTCATGGAGGAAAAGTAAAAGAAAGTGTGCTCAGGTGAAAATTAAAATAAATAGTGGAAAGATCTGGAGATGGGTTCTTTCCACTTTATCTATTTTGATATTCCTTTTTTTTTTTTTTTTTTTGAGAAGGAACTAGCTCCCACAAAACCCAATCTGGTAACTATCAAGCACATTCTCTTACGGTTTTAAAGGTTTGTCAGAAAATGTCAATTTATTAATGAGACTTGACAGAAATGTAGTTTTAAAAATGCATGTATAATTTTGAGTAAATTAGGGAAAAGAAAGGTTTGAATGTTGCTTGAGCAAGCTGGTTTATTTACCCGGTTGCACTTTAATCTTAAAACAAATTCTAAGAATTACATCCAGGCAGGTGATTATCAATATACTTAAACCGCCTTTAGATCTGTATGTACCTTCCCCAGCTACAGAATTTTATGGAGTAAGCTGTATATCTGTCAAGTCACTTGAGAGCCAAGTTTCTTGCAGAAAGATGACACTGAATGTAACTAATTAGACTTCATGCATCCTCCTCTTGCAGCTCTAGATATGGGGTTCTCCTCAGAGTTATAGAGAGGATTGGCATTAAGTCTACCAGAATAAAGATACTCTAATTAATTGGAACATGAGTAGTTCATTCTCAAAATGCAGAGATAACCAGGTTTCATAACTACATTTATGTCATCTTGCTGTAAGAAACCTAAGAGAAATCCAATATAAGCTTGTCCTTCATTAGAATTGGATACCAACATAATCAGAATAACTGCTTTTAGATCTGGCCCTTAAGCAATCGATAAATTGCCAAAAGCATCTACAGCAAATTGTCTGTTATTATTTACTGGAAAAGCAATGAAAAGCATGTCCACCTAGACAGAATTTACTGCTATAAACCAATTTAGGACTTGATTTCCTGTGTACACACACACACACACACACACACAAAAATTAACTCAGGCACTGATGGAGGGTGGCTTCTAATTAAGAAAAATACTGCTTGTGTCCTATTGAAACCATTACATCTCAAACATCTTTCTTTCCTGGCAGAAAAATTCAGCAACCTGTTTCCATAACATATTCGAAATCATCCTGCCGAATCAAAACAACAGCTCTTGCAAAAACGAAAATGGATCTCTCCAAGCTTCTAGACAAAGAATAGGTTAACCAAATCTGATGGTCACTAAAATTTGCTTTATGTGCTGCATAATAAAGATAAAACCTTTTTAATGTGGTATATTTCATACAAAGATGTCTCTATTTTTTTATAGTGCCCATTAAGTATGCTTGAGAATTATACTTAATTACAACCTATTGCATATACAGTTCAAGCTAAAGTTCAAACTCTAAAAGCTGTCTTGGATGGTTAAATCAGTTTTGTTTTTCAAAATGTAAATGTATTTTGAAATTTGTCCTTTGAAATGTAATAAAATGATGTAGATTGTCCATAGTATTTATTAATATGGCAGATAAATTATTTTTACTTCAACAAAAGAGTGACTGCTATACATATTCCGTCCTCCAACTTCTCAATTAAAAGTTTGGAAGCTTTTAGCCTTAAGAATTTAAAAATGAAAATCATTCTAATGCAGAACTGCATCAATAAAACAGCCATATGTATTATTATGAATTATCAGAAGTACATTGCAAAGTGCATGCTAACTTTTTGAACTATAAAAGTAAGCATTTTAGTGTCTTCCCACCAAAGACTAGTAGTATTAGTAATGCGAAGAGGGTTTAGAAGGATGCAGACTGCCCAAAGCTGAATGTATTTAATCATAAAAATATTGATTTTTTGCGCTGAGCAAATGAATATTCATTATAGCTCTTCAAACTTGATAGTGGTTTCTTCTCTTAATAGCACCTCAGAACCAAAACCATGGATCCTAACATGTCTTGCAGTGCCAGTAGTTTTACAAACATGCAGCATCCATGTATGAAAATGTAAAGGGGGTTGAATTAGACGACCTTCAAGGTCCCTTCAACTCTTATTCTATGTACTAAACTACCGTATTTTTGCTCCATAAGACGCATACCTGCTCCCAAAGTGGGTGGAAATGTCTGTGCGTCTTATGGAGCGAAAAATACGGGCCGTGGCGATGGGGTCCTTTTACAGTCCTGAATCCCGCCTCTCCTGTCTGTCATTGCCTGTTTTCCTCCTCTAAACCTAGGTGCATCTTATGGTCAGATGCATCTTATAGTGCGAAAAATATGGTACGTTCATTGATAGAATATACCTACCTGCTATGAGATATTCTTGGGTATCTCTTGCATATGAGTCACATTCATATACAATGTGCACCAGGAGAAATTGTGTTACCCATTGCACTTGATTATAGTCACTAGCAGCATCCCACGGTCACATGACCAATTTCTGAGATTTATCTTTGATTTCCAGCAAAAAACACTAAGTATAATGCATTCGTTAAGGACCATGGTGTTTACTTAATAACCACTGCATTTGCTTAATGACTGTGGTGTTGAACCACCACCTCTTAATGACTGGTGTTGAACCACCACCACAAAAATGATAAAATTGGTCATGGTCAAATCATGACTGCCTTAATGACTGCCACGACTAATTCTGGGCTTGATTACAGTTATAAGTCAAGGACTAACTGTATTCTTCATTAGCTGACTATCATGAATCAAATACATCCAAATTTTTCTTCAGTTGGAAATTTAATCTACCAAAAGTGATCAAAGCGGAATTTAAGTCACTACACAAGTTTCTTCCTAACAAGAAGTGCAAATTAGGATGAATCCAATTAGTGTTCAACTGAACTTTTTTCTCCATTGCAATTCTGATGTCTTTCAAAGCATTTTGATAAGTGATATATAGGATTAGATGCAGATCCTAGATGGCTTATTTTTAAAGCAAACTGGACAACTGGAATAGTAAACAACAAATTCAGAAAAGAAAAAGCAGGAGATAGGTTGCAACCATTTTAATCTGAGTGTAGTGTAACTTCCCACAAAATGTCACCCCACTTCCCAATATTTAATAAAATGTTGATAAAGTGAAGGCTGGTTAAGTGACTCAAAGGGTCTCCTTTACAATCAGTGGCCTTTCAGCATTTTTTTTTTAAAAAGACATTTCATACAATAAATGAAAATTATGATTTAGAAAGCATAGCATACATTCTGATCATTATCATCTGAAAGATTTTACAAACCCTTTGCATTTTTATACAGCTCTGCACCAAGATAAAACTATTCAATTTCTGAATAATTTTTACACATCACGTTACATAAATATATTAACATCTGTGCGCAAAATTAAACTAGAGAATATATAATTAGCGGCAAAAAGATGGGGAAAAATACAACATACTGTTAAAAAGATAGCCTCTGCTTCATACAGGTCTTAGAATGAAGATATTTTTTGTATTTACATGCAAAGAATACAGCGAGTGATCAATATTCACGATTATGGAACTATAGTATGTTATTTCATGATCAAAATGCTTATTTAGCAGGAAAAAAAATCCACATAATGTACAAAACAATAGTGCAGGAAGAGCTTCAAACAACTGTTCTCTTCGTTTTTGAGTTTTTGGTTTAAAAACTATACATCTGACCAAAGATGCTGCTGTGAAACTTAGTTTTTACTCCACAGGTAGATTTAAGGCACATAATCATTTTCAAAGGTTGGTTCTTTATGTCAAATATGTTCCAGTTTTCACATTTTTAGGGCCAGGAATACTATTTTAATAAATTATTTTGTAAAGACATAGTAGATGCATTTTCTGACTGCTAGTGTACTGTTAATAAAAATGTCGTTGGCTTATACAAATGTTAGCCTTGTTGGAACATAGTTCTATTGTAGTAAACTATATCTAGTACACAGATGCCATTTAATTATATTACAAATATTTTCTGATTGAAAAAAGTGTAGCCTCTTTCTATACCTATTTAAACAGCAGTCACAATTTTGCTTAAATTTTTAATTTTGAAGCAGAAAAAGCTAAAGCTTGATATGTCTAGAGATAATGTTACAGTCAATCCCTGATACAGGAATGCTCTTCATTAGCCAAAAGTTGATTCCTTTATTTTCAGTAAACTTAGATGCTCACCTCTAAAGTGACGTCTAAATTTTGGGATTCTTATTACACGTTCCAATAGTTTTCATGTCTACACATTCTTGCATGATGGTATTCAGGCTGGATGCCCCCAAGTCTTTTAGTTTCAACAAGATGAATGCACCATGTATCTTCTAATCAAGGTTTTGGCCTTATGTATATATCCTGAATGTGAATTTCTTCACAAGTTCAGATTCTCAAACCTCTTTTAAGGTACAGAAGAAAAGGACAAGATTTATAGCAAGGGACAGGTTTGTATGTTTATACGGTATATCCTCGTCTCCCAGCAAACTGGACAATTCACTGGAGCTAGAGAATCACAAATGAGAGTGCTTGTGATAACTTTCCCAACCTCTCTTTCCCTGTTCTCCAAATGCTCCAAAATACACCAAGTGCACAGGGATGAAATAATAAGTTGGACAAAACCAGTCTAAGATCTGAATTTTACTTCCTCAAGGGAGTCTTTCTAATGCAGCTTTATAGGTAAAGGGGAAAGAAATTTGTCAACAATAGGAGCTAAGCAATCTTTTGTTAAGCATAAATACTAAATATATTTTGTTCTCAGCTAAATTCTAAAATCTGACTAAATTGCTGTACAGATGACCAGGCAGAGCCCTTCGTGCCCACAAGAGATCCAAGTCCAGCCCATCTTGGATTCCTGTGACTTTTATCAACCGCCAATTTGGATGGGCATTAGTAATTCAGATTCTTGTAGAGATGTTTAGGCTTGCAATAAATCTTTACACCCATTTGAACTGCCTAGATCTCCTGATTTTACTGGTGCTTGACAATTGCTCAATTTGCAATTCTATTAATTATATCTCAAAAATAACTAGCCTCATATCTGAACTTTTGTAGGAGAGAACAAGTGAGCAGTAAGTTGGTTTTTGCTCATTTGTTTGGGTGCATCTATAAATAAATCAACTATATATAGACAGTTATTCAAGTGCTAATTCAGGGCTATCAGATAGTATGCTATACAACTGTACAACTGAAGCCCATGATACAACCTAAGAAATAGAAAATGTATTACATTGACTGCCATGGAATGAGTTTCCTTTTTATTAGAAAACATTAGACAAAGCCAGAACTTATTCAATAGAGCAGGGGTCCCCAATCTGTGAGCTGCAGCCCATTACCGAGCTGTGGCTTATTTGCAATTGGGCCGTGTGAGTGGTGGGCTGGTGCACACACGCACAGCCCAATTTGTGTGATTGACAGGCACTGGCACTTGCCGTCCAACTTGTGAGAGCAGTGGACACTAGCACTCGCAGCCACACTCACGTGTGCGGCAGGCACCGTGCTCACAGCTCCACTTGCACAAGCAGCACCCACACCCACCCACTGCTCACACAAATGAAGCTGTGCGACTTCCGCCGGCACCGCCGACATTGCTGGACGCTCTTTTTTGGAGCGCCAGCCCTGTGATCTTGTTAGCCATTCTGACAGCGCAAATCAGCTGTCCGACGGCTGGAAAACCTTTCCCTTGGGAGAAGAAGGAAAGGAGAGCAATCGGATGGGGGTAGAGCTCCCCAAAAGCCCCTGAAATAGCTTTGGGGGCTAGGAGGGTGAGAGCTCCCCAGGAAATCCGGTGAAACTCGGAGATCCAGGGCGCTTCTGCTTTAAGCAGAAAAAAACGTCACAACCGTCTCTGCAATCTTTATTGAGATTTAAATTGTTTATCTATGCAGACGGAGTGAAGACAGGAGAGCAGACAATTGCAAGTAACAAGCCCTTAATTCCATGCTTAAATTGTTACTTTTGGAAGTTGATTGAAGGAAGGGAGAAAATGGTGCTTGTGCTTAATAGGGCGTGAAACTGAAACTTAACTCTCGTTAAAGCTGTTAACATCCAGCATTCTTCAAGGTGGTTGGAGAAAAAGAAAAAGAGAAATGGCTGGCTTTATTGAAAGTCTTGAAGGTTCACTGTTACAAACATAATTAAAGACACAAATACTGATTGGGGATCTCTTTAAAGAAATATTCGAATCATTTACCTCTGTGATAGTGGAGAGAATTGAAGGACTTTTTAAAAAGGATTTTATTCAAGTTCGAAACAAAGAGTCAAGCGAAGATATTGTACCGGAATTTCAATTGCTAAATAACAGTGATTTGCTGAATGAAGAAATTCAGTCTAATGTGCCTCCGGGAAATGGAATGGATGTTTCTCAAATTAAGAAGGAAAGGCTGAGAGGCTTGAAGAAGCGTAATCAGGAAATACTGAGTGAGATTTCCCCAAAGGCTTTGTTACAGTCAATTGGAAAATTGTCAGGTGGTGTTGGGATTCCTAATATAAGAAAGAAGATTCGAAGTGGAACTTTACAATTTCTTTACAAAAATGGATTCTTAATTGCAGTTAAGGAGA